CCTTTTTCACACACTTTCTCCCACACAGTTAGAAGCTCATCTGTCATCCGTGTTCTCCTCCTGCAGTCATTTTTAGCTGGAAGTGCGTTGTGCTTTGAGCTGCAGCACGATGGCTGTGTATATGCTGCGGGGGGGGAGATATGCAGTGGGCTCTGGCAGGCTATCATGTAACTCAATCAAAAATATGCAAAAATACCTTAGCAACCTACAGAGCTTGGCAGAAGTCACTCTTCCTTCTCTCATCGCCCTCATTAGAAAGTTACATCTGTACAGAAAACCTCTACATACGGGTCCGCGTCATGTGTTTTTTCTCTTTCCGGCTCCATGTTTAAGGCGCAACAGGCTAGGTGGTTGTAATCCAAAGAGGGAAATAAAATTTTTAAATTCATATTTTACACTTATCAGAGCACTGCGCATGTCCTCTGGAAAGCTGGTTTTGTATTAGGGAGTCCTAGAGTGGGAAATGGTAGATTTTGGGGGCAAAAGGGTGTGATTAAATATTTTTATCGCCCGAAACAAAATCGTGAAGCCAAATGAATGTCACCTCAGCATTTGCACATCTGTGTGTCTGTGCACATGTAAATTAATGCATCTTATTTATAACCAAGATTTTGAAAAGTGACTAATGGTTTTGACTTTGCATGCCTAACTTCGAGGAGAAGGGAGCTGCAGACTTTTTCAAATTACAGGCAGGCAAAATCAAGCCATTTAAAATAAAAAAGAAAAGAAAAGCAAATTCTAGAACATGTATACATATATTTACCAAGCTTCATTTTTTCTCTCATGTGCAAATATAACCATCTAGGGTGTGAGGGAGGGGAGGAACATGTCAAGAATGTAATGTTGCATTCACATATGCCTGTCTCCTTATTCCTGATGGGGAAACTATGCTACTGATTTCGATGCAAATTCTGAGAGATGTTGCTTTTTTGTTGCGCTACTGCAGTTAACACATTTATCCTTCAAGGAGAAATAAGAATCTGTTTGCAGTATATCCTATAAGAGCGG